GTAGCACTTCAACTAAACGAAAACGGCGACGTTTCTTATCGACCCTTATCAATTAGTATCACGGTCTGTAACCCGACGTCCCCACCTACCCCCTTACCGTTTGCTGGAATCAACGCCTCAATGATGCTGTGTTCCGCGTTACGACTGTGATGGCGTTCCCTCTCTGACTTCCTTAATCGAAGCTTATCAACTGCTAGCAGTTTTTGTTACCCACCAATAATGTTCCTGTCCCACCATATCATACCATGGAACTAACGTCCCATTGCTTCTAAGGTAAGACCAGCGCTACGAATTTGATAAGCCGCACTTTCTAACGCCCCTTATCAGCGGTGATGTTCTTGTCGCATATCCTAAGGCTGCGTTTATACTTTGCGGCAGCGTAGCGTAGCGCTTCCAGCGTACGCCAGCGGCAGTGCCGGGGAGAGGATGCATATCGATCTAGCGTTCCCAGCGTCACCAGCGTCACGCTAGCGTTACGCCAGCGTTTCTCCAGCGGCACCAGCGTTTTGCTAGCGTTTGCAGCGGCAGGGGAGTAGAGACTATGTGGCCGTGAGAGACGCGGAATCGACGTGTATTGTAGAGACTATGTGGCCGGCAGAGACGCGGCATCGATGTGTATAGTAGAGACTATGTGACCGTCAGAGACGCGGAATTGACGTGTATAGTAGAGACTATGTGGCCGTCGGAGACGCAGAAGCGATGTGCATTGTAGAGACTAAGGGCGAGTGAGAGACGCGCAATCGATGTGTTTTGTACCCTCCAGCTCTCCCATAGTCTCTACTCCCCTGCCGCTGCAACGCTAGCAAAACGCTGGTGAAACGCTGGAGAAACGCTGGCGTACGCTAGCGTGACGCTGGTGACGCTGGGAACGCTAGATCGATATGCATCCTCTCCCCGGCACTGCCTCTGGCGTATGCTGGAAGCGCTACGCTGCCGCAAAGTATAAACGCAGCCTAAATCATAATCTGGAGCACGTCGCCAACGCTAACTGCGACTGGCGCTCCTTTTCGTGACAAGCAGACAGACGCCCACACTCGCGACATAGCGAATTATATATAGTAGAATGTGATCCCTGATAATACGTTAGGCGCAGTGGCTTAACTTGAGCACCAGTACTGTCTAACCGGTGACCTCTATGCAGTTGCAATTTCAGATGCTAACGTATGGATTTCTCCATTGAGGCTTGAGCGCTTTACACTTTGTGGCCCTACTCTCTGTAGAAGGGAGCCCTGAAGGCTTTCAAGGGTATCCTTTGCTTTTATCGCTGCTAAGGTAAGCCGTTTAGCATCTCCACATACACTTCAACAGACAAGCAACGGAGCATACTAGTCCTCGAGACACATCTCGCCACTGCCATGTGAGTGGTGGACTTTGAATATGAATTTGTGCGTAGCCTTGTTCGCAGCGGCTGGTGAGGCGTGTCAGTGCGTGCAGCGCCATTCCGTGTTTTTTTTGTCTTCTGAGGAGCATCAAGACTGTGTCATATCATAGTCGTTTTTCCACCACCACTCCTTATCACCTACCCGCTTTTGTAACCGGTAGGATAGAAAATGGGTTTGGCAGCGCGTCGAACGCAGCCGCAAGGACGGACTCCATTACCTCCAGTTCAGAAAAAAAACAAGAAATTGTTAAAAACACTCTGTATATGATTCCTTCTGACCTTGTAATTGAATGGACTTGCGAACAAGGCAAGGGAAAGAGACACTGAGCAGGAATGCGATACAAAGAAAGCGAACTGGCCATAAGGGAGGGCACATAGCCGTAGCCACGAAATCAGTGAACGAGGTAACGAGATGCAAGAGAGCCAAGTTATGGCCACCTACATCAAAGGGCGGAGAGCATTGTTCCCAGGCCCCTGGCGGTGCTCTCATGCGCATTTCCCTTGCGATATGCCACGACTTATGCATATGGGATTCAGTGCACCCTTCACAGTGAGAAAAACCTCTCCTCTCAGGCAGCCACGAAGTTTGCCTTAGGTAGCGTTCATAATTCGCGACAGCAGCGGCGATAGCGGCGACCGCGGCCATCTGACGATCGCCGCGATCGTCGATGTGTGACTGAACGAGCTCCAACGCTATTACTTGGACCGCTCCGAATATTAATAGAGAGAAGCGGCTTTATTCAGTGCTTTTTTCTATTATTACTCAGGTATAGCTGAATTCAACTTAGGGCACTTCTTCTCTATTCCACTCTATTTCGTTTTTCGAATTAAGAGAAGAAGAGTAAAAGCATGAGTTGATACACATACAGGGTAAGCAGTGATAGCATACAGGATAAGTTTCTTCTTTTTTCGTACTTCATACTTATATAAGAAGTTATAAAGTAAAACAAATCTTTGATGTTGCAGAAATGAATTAGTGTTTCGATTCCTAGGTGATCTTCCTCCTGTGTCTATCTTTCGTTGTTTTAACTCGAATTGCAAATTATATGTGTTCTAGAAGCTGGAAAGTTTGGTAATAGGAGATTTTTTAAGACACTTATATCGAATGAAACAATGAAAACAAAAGAAAAACATGAAAATTCCCCAGGGAATGAGCTTGCCCTCATCTCAAGTTGAAAAAAAGGTGAGCCCCCACTCCCTCGCATTAAAGATTCTTTTGAAGGCAGTTGGCACGATAAATTCCTCACAAGGGAAGGATGGTAGGTCGAAGTGGCCATTTGAAATGAAATGTATACGCTGGCCGAAGGTCTTCGACGGATTACGGAGAACCGTCCGTCCATTACCTGCTGGCGGACCTCCATGAAAGAAGTTACGGAGCTTTGTAATGGGAATACACTACGTATGGCAGGCGTAAGGGGTTTTCTGATAGAGATCGCGCCTGAAGCATGGACGAGTGCGCCATAACGCTCCGTACCGGCGCCTCCATGACCTCCGTGGTCGAGGACTTCTGGATCCTTGATTGTGCGTGTTGCGTTGATCCTCCCTTCTCGAAAGTGCACTCCTGCTCCGCACTCTCCAACAGCCTAGTTTTGCCATAACACTGTCCGTGATAATCGTTGTGACGCTCACATGACTTCCTGACACCTGAAGGACCCCCGCCAACTGGCGAACGCATTCCATAGTGCACTACCCTCCGCTCGCCCCCCAGACAAAGATCGCTCACTCACCCCGAGCCGAAAACTCCGCGCAGCTCCACCGCAAAAGCTTGGGATAGATATAAATTCAAGCATTATGTCTCCTATGGCCTGCATCAGTATCCGATAATTACGTACGACATTATCACGCGGCACAGGACGTGATTCTCATGCACAACATACGCTTTGGAAGTGCCACCAGACCCCACTTCTCGCCCCAACAACCAATGCCACAAACGGGCCACGCCACGCCACCAAGGCTGCAACCACCCCCTCGACGCGTGCCATCCCCGCCTGAGCCCCTACGCCGCCCATAGCCCCCCCCCACCCTCGGACCATGCGCTCGCCCACCGATCATGCGCAGCCTTAAGCGCCGCCAAAACTACGTGTAATTTCTTTCCCACTACAAACGTCCGTACTCTCTTCTACAGGAGGTTCGCGGCAGCAGATATCGCGCCGAAGCACCGCGCCTTTCCTCCGTCTCCTCCCCCCCCCCCGGCCAACACCCGACGCTCTATCCCCAGGCCGCGGTATACAATTCACTCCTATCCAAATGGCCACTTCGACGTATCCCATCCTTCTTCTCCTTGTCAGACGAGTACGGAGCAATTCGCCGGCCGCGCAGACAAATTCGCGACCCTGAACAAGCGCCAAATGTAGACGACCTTTTTCAAAGGAAGGTATGCCTTGTGAGGCCTAATCAATGCCGCAATACTCGCGACCGAAACGCGCCCATTACCCCGGCCCGCACCAAATGGACCGACCGCTAACCTGTGTTCGTATTGCTCTTTTACAATACCGTGCCCCCCCAGCAGACAATCCAGTAGCCAAGTCACTCACCGCATATGCCAGCAAAGAAGACTGATGTGTACCAGGGTCGACGGCGGTGCGTCGCACTGGACTCACTCACCCCCTTCATACGTCAACTTCGTGGCAGCCTCATCACCTCACCCCCTAACGTGTTACTTAGCGCCAAGATGCCTACGGGAAACTCATACGATATCCTCGAATTTTTGAATCACCTCAAGGACGAAGGCCTTTCTCCACAGGTCTTTGACCATTTCACTTCGTTTTTCGCCATTTTCCCCACTGTAGAGCGCCCTCCTAGCATATTAGGCCTAGCAGCAAATTATCGTGCCAAAGCAAAGCCCGCGACCCACCCAGATTGCGGAACACAGGCTCAACACACGATCGACAAAGTGCTGTGTAGGTAACTGACTGCTGGAGAAAAGATGCAGAAAGAACAGTCTGAAGTGCCCCAAATAGGGCTCCATGCCGACCCCAACTCGTACGTGCATGCAATGAAGAGAAACGTGTTTGCACGAATTTCCACCCGTCGTTATCATAACGTGTGCCCAATTGGCCAGCTTACAGCGGAGTTCTTGCCAATTTCCACTTTCTGAAGATAGCGCAGCCTCCAAAATCGCCTTCCGGATCGTCTGACACATTTGAGAGGTCTATAGCCTTATTTTATCGCGGAAAATGACTTTGAATAAGGAAGTCGTAAGTTCGCCGCCACAATTCAGAAAAAAGCCTCACTAGGACAAACCGAGCGGTCCAAGTAAAAGCATTCTCCATGTCCGTCTTTTATGAAACCTTGCATCTGGATATTGCTTTGTTTTTTATGCCAAATAATAGTGTTGGGGCGCGCTCAGTCGTACACGACGATCGCGGCGATCGCTACAATCGCCGCGATCGCCGTTGCTGTCGCTGTCTTATCATACTGTATTCCAACGTAAGTCCACAACTTACACAACTAAATTACAACCACAACAATAACACTGGCTATATTCATACAATGGTCACTTGTCATTGTTTCGTTTCCCTGTTTCGCAAGTGCTGCTTACAATTAGTTACATAGTATGTACATGTGAGCCAGAAAAGCAAAATTTTTTGAACGATAGATATCGAAAATATCTAAAAAATCAGAACACTTTCTGCAGACCCACCTTTTTCTTTTTCTTCGATTTTTCGGTTTTCTTGGACTTCTTCTTACTGACGGAACCAACCTTGCTGACTGCCTTTTCACTGTCTTTTTTGCTTTCATCGCCTCCCTTTTTGACTCCGTCTCCTAATCGTTTAGATTCCTTTTCTTTATCTTCTTTTCTACTCTCCTTTTTATTAGAAGGCTTTTCCTTCTCTTTGATTTGACTCTTCCCGCTTATTTTGCTACCCTCCTTAGCTCTCTCTTGTAAGTCAGATTTCTGCGTTTCCTTGCTTTTAAGTCCGCTGGGTTTCTCACACAACCTCTTCCCATCGTTATTCGCACCCTCTCTCATTTCACTTTCAGGGGTTTTCTTTGTTAAATATTGGTCGGAAAAGTTCTGGCTGGGGGGAGTTGCTTTTGTAAAACCCTCTGGTGACGCTATCTCCTTTGGAGTTTCCTCACCTGGTGACTTGTTCTTTGCCTCCACATCACTATCTTCCTTTTTTTCCGGCTCGGCATTTTCTTTTTTCAGTGACTGAATCGCTGCCTCTTTCTTTTCAAGCGATACACTCCGTTTTGGTTGCAGCATCTTCTTATCGGAAGGGTAAACCTTTTTCTCGGGGGTCCCCTCCTCTATCTTTTTCCCTTCCTTGTCTTTCATTTCTAGATCATCTTTTTTCTTTGATCTCTTTTCAAAAATCCCGAAATCTCTCCTGACTGATTCCGGGATTTTGGTTCTGGTCATGTTCACATCCCCTCTTTTCTCTAGGATTTTTTCTTTTTCCTTTCTCTCTTCGGGACTTTTCTTCACTTGTACTTCAGATTCCTTGCCTTTCGGTGACAATTCCTTTTTTTCATTCTTCTCACTCTCTTTTCCCTTATTCACATCTATCGCACATTCTTTCTCTTCGCGATTCTCTTCTTTTTTAGGCTTTCCTGATTTCTTTACATCTTCCTTGCTATCCCAGTCGCTCAAAATATCACCCATTGTAGGGTAGTCCTGAAAGACACTGAGAACTCAACGCAAAATTGAAAGGTTACAGTAACAGAGCAAAACCTTGAAACGAGCTCCGGAATGGCACTTCCGGCCATTTTAACTTGTTTGATTCCTTCGATCTAATAAAATCAGAAGCAGTAGCGAAGTTGTAATGTATTAATATGATAATATTGAGTTTGATGGAGCGGAGGTATGTAGTTGGTGGCTAACGGCGCCACTTGGCTTGTCCCCGTGGAGATTACGACGATTTTTTATAGCATCGCCTTCATTTGGCGCCGCATGGCGTCATGGCGCCGTGCCCTTTTTCACAAATTCCTAAGGAAAAATATTTATTTGAGGAGTTGTCAAGGACCTAATTACGGATATAAAATTCGTTTTTGGAGCTGGCACCATTTGGCGATATGAAGCGCCAGCGGTACGACATTTTCCACCGAAATCGATATCAATATGCCTTCGGAAGTTATCGAAGTTCCTAATTACAAGTACAAGGAAGTCGCAAGTCTCCCGAAAGGTCAGGTCACCAACAACCCGCGAACGGAATATCTCACTATGGGGAAAACTGGTTGAAAAGGTTACCCGGTTTGCGTACCGTTCTGATCAAACGGATTTATAATTCGCTGCGTTTCAGCAACTTTTAAATCCGGTTGATCAGAACGGGATTGGGCCAAATAAATTTCCAAATTTTTAACCTGAAAGTTTGAAGACTTCACAAAATGAGACTCTGGAAAGATTATAAACACCGTCGAAACGAGGACCTTATAAAGCGATTGATAAGTCTTCTATACATTCCTCTCTCCACTCCCTCGACTCCACCACAATTCCCAGATTCTCAGAGTGAAGAATAAATCGCGGCTGAAGCCAGCTCCTCGCGGCCGTTTCATTTGATAGAAGAAGTAGAGCTATGAAAGCCGTGATGTTAAAAAATGTGAAAATTTTCATGAGTGTATTCTCGACAGATTTGAGCGCTCCGTTCATCAGCCTTCTTTTCATGCGAAATCCCCAGAAAGGGGGACGTACTTGGCCGCAGGGGACGTGGGGAGGGTCGCAAATGCAGGGTCGGTGGGCATTAAACAGCACAAAAGTGTCATTGCTAAGTTTGATGGAGCGAACGGAAAGCTGCAGAAGACCCGGATGTAAGGAAGACTTCGAATAATGAAAAATTGATTAGCAACAGCAGCTAGCATGGACTCGTAAGTGCGTAGTACGTAGACTAAATAATACATCTCAAACAGATTCGTGCGTATCGACCTTTCCAAACCCTAAACAAACATCTGCTTGCATGGACAAAAATCACCTAAAATCAGAAGTTACACCTTTCCACCACCTCTGCGTAGAAGCGTAATGCACGGCGCACACTCGGACCAAATCGATCGATGATAACCGAGCTCTTCTTTCACTCATTTGAAGGGAAATATGTGTTTTGAAGGCACACCGAAGTTTGGGCAAATGCATTCGAGTCCACTACATTGTATTGAGCAAGCGCTATACCCTGGATATTCGGTACTGTTTATATTCAGGGACTACTTCATTGGGAGCTAATGATTCACATCTATCTGAGCGGCATGATCCCAAACCTCTGCATCTCGTCATGTGCTCTATCTGATGATATGTTTCCTTCGTCCAGAAATGGGACACCTTTTGGCAGCTAAGGAGTTCGGACCTACGCGTCACGTTTAAGTACCCAACGCTCATGGTATGATGTCTCAGCTGTATGCAGAGATTTGATTGGACTTTGTTGGAAAGTATTTCTTGTCTGTACTCGTAGTGGCAGGTGTTGTGTTCAGAGCAAGACAGTTCTATTGAATGACGGAGGTGACCCTCCTGACACGATACATTTTGGTCGTAGTAATTCATTTATTTGGAAATTACTAAGTTTCAGTGTAGAAAAATGTGCCGTCCCAGGCGCAAGTCATGGGAAAAATGGCTCGTCGTCAACGTGTTAAGGGATGGCCTCTATCAGAAAAGTAGCTACTGGTGCTTAATTTCCCCATCACCGTCCACTGATTGCACATCTGGGGCCTGACGTACTTACTTTGGGGCTATTTTTTCACCAATTTTGTTTATCACTGATTGTTTGCTTTTTAATAATGGCTCTTGTTATAGGTTGAATCTCATGCATAATTGACTGACTGTGCAGCACCGTCTGTAATCTTGTGCGGTTCAGTGGATTCCTACTACGCTTTATAGTGAAGCTTGTCGGGGGTGGGCCCCGAGCCGTCGCGTACGCGGCGTCGCGAACGCGACACTGCGCCGCCAGGCTTTACAAAACTATCACACTAGCAAAGAACTGTCAATTGTAAAGGTTTCCACATAGAGAATTGTAACCGTATCACTGCTTCCGACTTCTGTAGGGCGTAGTATCGATGTCGCCTCCGCGGTGCCGCAACGATCTCGATACTCTGGTCGGGAATAGCTTGACCGGCGTGATGGTGGAAGTAAGAGCAGACGTTGTTCCAGAGCAGCGACGAAAATCGGAAGGCAGATGAGGAGAAAATAGGAAGCTAATGCATAGACGGTAGGCGAGAACTGTCGACAATCGAAGTAGCTGGGATAAATGGAGTAGCAACCAGCAGCTGAATACAAAGAATAAGAGTCGATCGGCGAAATGCGAGGAAACGCGAATTCTGACCACTAAGCAGCAGTCAGAATTTGCGCTTCTTCGCAGGTGGACCGGAACACAACGTGTTGTGGCAATTTTTGCACGTCACTGTGCAGAGAGCCGCGCCATAATCGGCGAAGACATCGGCCGCACAAATGCAGCTCTGCCACCCTCATAGCCCGGCTGACAGAATCTGGATACCGGTGGCAACGTGACGTTAGGTGACCATCCACATTCTCGTTAACCGAACAGAAAACACATGCGGATTTGGGCGCAGAACGGTCGACGAGAGTGTGGATCGCTTCTTTCATCTCAGCAACCATAGTGTATAGGGTGTCCAGCCGATTAGTAATGCTTTGCAAGGTGTCGCGAATAGCATCAAGCGAAGCCTGGCGCTCAAAGTCCATCAACTGGATCTCGCGATCAAGGTCGTCTGCCATCTCACAGTGAGATGAATAAATGATGGGTTTAAGTACATCTAGTTTAAAGCTACAGCGAAGAAATTCTGATTTGTTGCACTGATTGCTTCCTTGTTTATCTAGCTAGCTCTCTCTACGATTGAATGCCGCGTGCACGCTCACAGTAAGCGCTAGTACCGCTTCAGCAGTGGTACACACGGCTTTTGTGAAAAGAAGAATGAGCGAGACCATCGCTTTGACTATGTTAGAAGTACTGCTGGACCAAACAAATAGGTGAGACAAATCAAAATTAGTAAGGTTATGAGAGCAGCTAATGTGCATTTCCAGTGCTCGAAGAAAACTAATAGTAACGGAAGAACGTCTGGTAAATGCACGCTTCCAAACCAGTCGAACTGAACTGTCATTGAGAAAGATGTTCGATTCCCTCGTGATTGCGATATACTTGAGCATCCCTTCCAACTTCATGGTACCATTCCTACCACCGCATACTGTATAGAATTCTGTATTTATTACCGCTTTTTCAAAGGTTCAACCTGACACTGGTGGTCTTATTGTGGGGTGTGCATTCACTGGAAAAATGGCAGTTGCACACTTGACAGTTGTCCAGGAATGTGTCGCGACAATACATGATACGTCCACGGAACTACCGTGGTAGCAACTGCAGCATCCTTGTAGCTTTTGGGCATATATCATGCCGGGGACGTCAACTCGTAAACGTGCGTTTTTTTGTCGATGAGATAACAACTGTTGTTTCGTCAGCCGTAGATTCTGCAAATACCTCCCTATCGACGGCGAATATAGTTATCCGCGGTGATGACACGGGTAGCTTGCGGGCTGCATTGCTACGAAGTTCCGCTATGGAGCCATATGAGCAGCGACAGTTAGGTTTCACCCCGCTGACATCGCAGTCACAATAATGGCTGTTGGAGCATGACAAAAGTTAGAGTGTGCCTGAGCCTGAGTTTTGCAGTTCACTGGGAAGATGAAATCAGGTGGAACGGTTAAGGTTTCGTTATCAGTTTGGACGAATTTTTGGTGTAACCCTTCTCGAGACGTTTGTAATGAAATGACTGTAAAGTTGAAATTAGCGAACGACTTTGTAAAGTATGGGGTTAGTTCAATGATTCCACGCTTCTGCTCACTATATAGCTTTAGGTCTACATCCGTTCCAGTTTTTAACTCATCCTACGCAATCGATAATTTCGTATAGATGGTCAGAGACTGGTACATTAAACGTGCGATAGAATGTGCATGCTCTGAAGGGTATTGGGCAAATGCATTCGAGTCCACTACATTGTATTGAGCAAGCGCTATACCCTGGATATTCGGTACTGTTATATTCAGGGACTACTTCATTGGGAGCTAATGATTCACATCTATCTGAGCGGCATGATCCCAAACCTCTGCATCTCGTCATGTGCTCTATCTGATGATATGTTTCCTTCGTCCAGAAATGGGACACCTTTTGGCAGCTAAGGAGTTCGGACCTACGCGTCACGTTTAAGTACCCAACGCTCATGGTATGATGTCTCAGCTGTATGCAGAGATTTGATTGGACTTTGTTGGAAAGTATTTCTTGTCTGTACTCGTAGTGGCAGGTGTTGTGTTCAGAGCAAGACAGTTCTATTGAATGACGGAGGTGACCCTCCTGACACGATGACCTCGTAGCCACAAGTAATGCGCCTACGCAATCGGTAATGTCTGTGTTGGTCTCAGTGCTGGAGGAGTGAAGTCAGTCAGAGAGAAGGACACTGCTCCCGTTTTGGTTGCATTGCCGTAAGAGCTAAGTTCGTCGTGTTCGTGATACTAGTGGAGTGCTGTTCTTCGCCAAATAATCCATGCCAGCAGTAGTACTAGGCTTATGATGCAATATGAGGCCACAGTGAATGATGATCGCACCCGTAGGCCAGCAGTGGGGACTCCCGAACAAGGCTTTGATAGGAAGTTAGCTACTTTGGAACAAAAGGGTGGAC